GCTGTTAAAAGTGAACTCAACACCAAATCTAGTTTGTTTTGTTGATGGCAGGAGAGCATTAAACCAGCTGCTGCTTTTTGATGCCACCATCCCTCCCACCCTGCCCCTTTTGAACAGGGTGTTGTGGCTTAGGGCTGCATCTTACAGGTCTGAATCAACAGAGGGGGTTGGGGTTTTTTCAAATAAATGCAAAATTTAGAAGAAATAAGCTGTACAAGCCAGCAAACACCATTAATAGGACCACAAAATGGATGAAGCAAGTTGTCTCCAGCAAGCCATGGGTTTCCATCCTGCCAGCTCTGCCAGCAGGAGAGGTGGAGAACAGAAGTGGGAACATTTCTTCTCTTTCCATTAGCTGTGGAAATTAATTCCCTCTCAAAGGCTTTAACAGTAAAGATGCACAGCAATACCCTGCCTGGGGAAGTCCTGCACCACACAGATGGACCCAGAAACTCCCTGAGGGATCTCCACCAGGATTTCCTGCCCAGGGTGGCTGGGGAAGAAGGCCAGTGTGCAGCAAAGGAGACCAGACACGGCAGGACTCTGGATTGGTGACAGAAGACATCAGCTCTGGAGATTGCACCAAGGCTAGGAGAGCCTGGAAGGGAGCTGAACTCAGAGAACAACAATCAAACAGTGCCTGGAACCCAACAGAAACCTGATTGTGAGAATTGGAAATGAGATAACCAGACCAGTTCACCTACTTGAACAGCTCAGACAAAAAAAATATATGTTGGAGCCAAGCAGGAAATTTACCTTAGGTCTATACAGAGTTAGAAAAACATAAAGTTCTTTTTTAATTCTAGTTTGAATCTGTGGTATTTAGATTAAAGAGGCAGAAAAGCAGCCTGTCCACTGTTAACTGGAGCTGGAGCACTGGCACATTGTCACCAGCCCCCAAAAGATACCACCACAAATTGCTGATGTACTGAGCAAGAGAGGAAGTTTCCCACAAGGAAAACTCACAACACATCCAGGTCTCCTATCAAACTTTCATCTTAGGTACCAACAAGCCTGGAGATTGTGGAGAGTTTCCACCCTATGGTCAGTTAAAGGCTGCACCAAGGAGAGGTGAGAGCACAGGAGGGTTTGTGGTTTGCATTCTGGATTTTAAGGTAAGTGACGTGCACACAGAGCACCCGGAGCAGTGGGCAGTACTGGCCACCAAATTGGAAACACTGGCTGCAGTGGAAAAACAGCGTGAGTGCCTGGTTGGTGGCTGTTGCACTTGACATTCTGCAAAGCCCTTTGAGTGCTGCAGCTTTGCAAAGAAAAGGGGGGCAGCAAGGGGCTCACAAACCACAGCTTCACACCGGAAAAGCTGCGTGCTACAGCCTCAACAGGGTCTTTTTCCCTCTGTTCGAAAAACAATGCTGGTAATTTGCCACTAAATTTTGAGGTCTTCATTGAAACTTTCCATTCTTGGTTGTGAAAAGGGAATGGAAAATTTTAATGCAATCCTCCAGGGGTTAGGAACAGGAAGAGTGAGTGGTGCTGTGGCAAAGCCTGGTGCCACCCCTCAGCTGGCACCACTGACCCCTCACAGGGATCCACCAGCACCTGCTCATCCTCAGGAATGTGGCATCACTGCCTGGCAATGGGATGTCCTTCTGGAGCACTAGGAGACTCCATGGGCAGCAGAACAATGGGCACAGTCATTTTGGTGCTCCTTTGGTGTTCACCAGTCATGACATGACTCCCATGTCCCCAGAGGAGCTCCAGCCTCTCAATACTGGGGCACATCCAGGCCATGTCTGCTATGGCTGACACTGAGAAACCAAAGAGGTTCTTACCCCATGAAAAAGCCCCTGAGAGCTTTCCACAATTGAGAAATCAAACATATCCAAGCATGGTTCTCCAGCTCTGGTGCCTCAGCTCCCTCTCCTTTCCCATTCCTTCTCTGTCAAATGGATGTAAGAAAGCAGAGAAAATGAATTCTAAATTCACCTCCTGCTAAGCCCTGATCAAAACCAGGTGAATCCTTGTTACTCTTCTCATCCCTGCATGATTTTGTCTCTTGTCTCCTTGCTCCCGTCTTCCACTAATTATTTGACATTAATTAAATAGAGACCTAGGCTGGCCCTAGTATATAAATATAAACCTCAGTCATAAGCAACTTAGGTTGGAGTGCAAAATAATCAGAGTCCTGTAACCTTAGCTGTGAGTAAAATAAAACTTACATGTAGGTTTGGGAAAAAAAAGAAATTACTTCTACTTTCTAATCAACCTGTCTGGTCTCCTGACTTCTCTTACATGATGCTTTGCAGAAGTACTGGTTGAGTATTTTTTCTTTTTCCTTAGTCATATCATACCAGTGATATGATACAACAGAAATTTCTAACTAAATTACTAATAAAACAATGCTGGTGTTCATTGATTTGGCTTAGGTCCTCAGTCAAACAATGACAGGCTATTCTAAAATCTTGTATAGAGGACAAATAGGCAAACCAGAACATAAAAAAAATCAAGGAGATTCTTTACTTAATGTGAGTCCCCACCTCCTCCGCCCAGTTTTAGAGTTAGTCATCACTATCAAACTTACATTAATGAATCTAAATTATTTATACAAGTGTTGATTTTAAATCTGAGCATTTTCCTAGAGGTCCTGTTTGTGTTCTGGAGCTTTTCCTAATCAAATGATTGTCACTGCAACTTTATATTTTGTTCTTTGTCGCTATGCCAAATAGAAATAGCTTCATACTATGCAACACCTTATCACAAAAATCGATATAAAAGAAATGTGTGCCAGCCCTCCTTCAGCCATATCTCCCAGCTGACAATAAGGTTTTGCCTTGCTTTTATAGGATATATTCATTAGCAGGGGAAAAGGTGGCCTTGCCTGGAAATCAGCTCAGTCTGTGAGCAAAGAGGACCAAGATCAAGGACACCTCCACACAGAGGAGAGGAATATCTGGGCACCACTTTGGTACCTTGGGCTGATTCATAGAAAATTTACTGTTTGTCAGAGACAAGAAAGAAATGAGATATCCCTGTTAAGAAAGGCAGTAGCCCTTCCTGGATGAGCCTTTAGATGCACAGGTTCTCCCAGCACATCCACCTCACATCCCTGAGGACATGCACTGCGTGCTCACTCTGCAGCAGAGTGAGAACCTAGAACTGATGAAATTTTTGTCCCATCCTCATTGGCCAGCACATTCATTTCCATTTTACTTTTATTTGCTTTATTTAAGGTAGACATCACAAGTCTCCCAGCCTAACAAAAGCATAAACTTCACATATTTCAGCAGGCCTAACATGAGCTTTCTTCACTCACTAACATGCATTGAAGACCAGAGAAATAAACCCAGTTCCTAAACTGTTTTCAGTGATTCAGCTCTGAGCCCCAACAAAAATGGCATCAAACCCAGCAGCACCTACTTTCTGACAGATCCAGGGAAAAGGGGCTTTCTTTGCAGAGGGGTGGTGGAAAAAAAAATAAAATCAACAGGAAAGCCAGGAAGAAAGAAAGAAATCAGACACCATCCCAGCCCCTCACAGGCTGGTGAAACTGTTGTTACTGTGTGTTTTTAAAGCTCAAAGAAGCATCACCCATCCCTACGTGCCAGTGGTCACCTGGAGGCAGCAGCAAGGGCCATTGGGGCACACAAGGGGATATTTTTGGCAGAGAGGAAACACTTGTGGTGAGAGAGCCACGGGTTGGTAAAACAAACAAAAAGCAAAGCATGCGCTGGACATTGGGTTCTCACACGAAGTTTCTGCTCACAGACCACCTGCCCTGCACGATGAGATTTGCAATTGCAAAGAAGAATTAAACAAAGAAGAATTGCAAAGAGAACAATCAAGCACCTGAAGGCCCCAGCTGTGTGCCAGCAGCACGTGTGCTTGGAGATAAATGATCTGTGTCTCTATGCCATGAAACACCTGTGTCCCACTTGCCAGGTAACAAAATAGTCTGGGCTCTGCCACCCACATGAGACCCCTTGAGTGTGCTAAGGAGAAGGAGGCAGAACCCCTGCCAAGAAAAGCAAAGTGCAGCCTGCACCAAAAGCATGGGACTCATCCATAACTTCTGCAGAGCTGGAGCTGCTGTGGGTCCCCAGGGGGCTGGGGAGAGCAGGCTGTGGTGGCTGATCCTACCTCAGCCATGAGCAGCATTGCTGGATCTCTAGGGAAGGCATCCAGGAAAAAGCCTTGAGGCACCATTAAGAGCTGATAAGGATATAGAAACTCTGGACAAGAAATTAATTTCTTCAGGAATCTTTTTTGTCCTCGTTATGCCGCAGATGCTGAGCATCACCTCCCTACCCAAGAGGGTCCTGGTGACATCACATCCTCCCCAAAGAGTGACACAGCCTCCCAAGCCAAGAGAGAAAAACCATCTCAGCTGCTCTGCACCAGCCCAAGCACAGGCACCACAGGAGAAGATGGACACATCTCCTGCCCTGCTCCTGCTGCTCACCCTGGGATTCTGTGAGTACGGACACGGGACTGTGCAGCCCCTTCACTGGGAGGGACAAGGAAAACCTTTCTATTGAATCCAACACATTGGGGTAAATAACTAAAGGGGTAAAAAGCAAACCAAAACTGCTGACCTTGAGGTGTGCTCGGTGAGTTTGGAAGGAAGGGTGGCATCACCTCAGGCAGCAAAGGGCAGCCAGAGGGGCGGCTGCAGCACCACCTGCACTGGGAAGGGAGATTGATCCAATGAGTGCTTCCAGAGGGGAGGGAGAAGGGTGGGAAAAAAGAGGCCTTGCAAGAAGTGTAAATGGAGTCACTTCAGAGAAGCTGGGAAGGTGTAATGTCCCTGAGAAGACACTGGAAGGGCAGCACCCATCTCTCAAGCCCGGCTGGCTGATTGCTGAGCGCCCTCCATGCACCATCCCAGCAAGGACTCCAAGAAAACCTTCACATCCTCCAGACACTGAGGGCTTCCCTTTCCATTTCTACTCCCACCCCATGGACAGGGAGGGAGGGGTGGTTTCCTCAGAGAAGCCTTTGACTCTTCCCAAGTGGTTCCAGCAAGGATTTCTCTCCTGCAGGCTGCCCTGGGATCTATGGCCAGTCACTGGAGATCAAGCTCAGGTCTCCCAAGGACATCAGCCAGCTCCAGGTGGGACAGAAGCTGGAGCTGGAGTGTCACACTGACGGGAACCATGGGGCATCCTGGATCCGCCAGGACAGCAGTGGGAGCCTTCACTTCATTGTCTTCATCAGCTCCATGTCTCGGGCCACGTTTCAAGGGGGTCAGAAAACATCCACTCGCTTTGAGGCGAGCAAAGACAGCTCGATCCATCGGCTGGCAGTGAAATCTTTCACACCACAGGACCAGGGGAGCTATTTCTGCGTGATGAATCTCAACCAAATGCTGCACTTCAGCCCTGGCCAGCGTGCCTTCCTCCCAGGTCAGCAACACCTTCCCCCAGCCTCACCCAGCCCTGCCAAAATGCCCAGCACCTCCTGCCCGTGCCCTTTGGAACCAGCCATCCCTCCCCAGACCCCATGTCCCTGCTGGCTTGCCCAGGCCATCCTGTGAGCAACCCACTGCTCCTCCTGCCAGAGCCTCCCTGCTTCCCACCTCTCCTCCTGGCACAGCTCCTGCCCAAAAGCAAACACGATTGGGCAGACCCAACATCATCTCCCCATCCCCACTTCCCCACCCCACCCACGGCTCTGAAGGGAGAGCATTAAAGCCAAGTCCAGCACCACCTCCTCCTTCCTCAGCACACACACAGCTCCCAAAAGTACCACCAGGCTCAGGCTCTGTGGGGATGGTGTCAGAAAGTGAGAAACAAGCAGGCTGCAGCTCCCCCTTGGCTCTTGGGAGACCCTCCTTGGGGGAGTGCCCCTCCAGGATGGGCTCTGTGAAGTTCTCCTGGAGCTGAACTCAGGAGCACCTGTGCCCTGGCAGGGGTAAGAGAGCAGAAAGGCAGGAGAGATCTGTTTTATTGTATTTCCCTACATGCTGAGTTCATCCATTTCACTTACAGTCACCACTACAGTGGCACCCAGCACTCCAGGACCCATCACCCAGAGGGGCACCACTGAGGAGCCCAACCTCACAATTGCAGATCCAGGTAACCTAAATGCAGGGAGGGAGAGGGAAGGGCTGGACTCTGGTCCACTGATACCAAGGGGGATCCTGCAGATATTTTGGGATTGGGAGGGAGAGAGAAGATCCACACAGCTTCTTTACAGATTAAATTCCAGTGTTTCATTCAACCTAAGAATATCTAAATATGCTGTAAAAAGTTTGAGCATGTCTGGGCACACCAGGGATATGGGGAGGGAGGGGAGAGCCTTGGGGGCTGGGGCTGCTTTTAGTCTCAGCAGGAAACAGGAGAAAAGTTTTGCCCACGTCTCCTCCCTCGAGTCCTCAGGAAAACGCTGACACCAGAACTGTCTTGAGCACTTGGTGGACATTCCATCTTCTCTCTTCCTGCAGAGGGAAGAATACGGGGAGATCTGAATTTCTTCTGCCACATCTTCATCTGGGGGCCCTTGGCAGGTGCCTGCCTCCTGCTCTTCATTGCCCTGGTGATCACCATCGTGCTGTGCCAACGTAAGGCTCCCCACAACCCTCTCCAGATCCATCTCTGTTCTGAGCCCACAGCCCTGCCCTCAGGGACATGGATGTTCTGGCAGTCTTGGGAGGTAGCTGCTAATCAGAGCACAGCCAATGCAAGACAAGGACCACTGCTAAAATCAGTGCCTGTATTTTAATCCTCATTACTAGGGTTAGGATGAGAAAGAATTATCAACTTAGAATCACGCGGTCAGGAAATTATTTATGTTGGAAAAGAGTTTCAAGGAAGAAAAATAGATTAGAAAGAGACAGTACTTACTCTACCAACTGTCTGGGCTCATAAATGGGTGTGTCACAGGTTAAAGCCCCAGAGCCTGAAACATTCTGACCTAAAAGAGTAAATCTGCTCCAGCAGATGCTGAGAGTGACATCTCAACTGGAACCAGATGAGAAACTTCATTACAATATGATCAGTGAAAAGCCCTCAGCTGCAGGTAATTTCTGCAGCAATTGCCAAGCCCTTCAGGATGGATTTTTACCTTAGTCTAAAATTAATAGCTAGGCCATAATTAAATAATTAAATTCAATAATTAATTTATTTAGCTTAATCTACCTCAAAGTAACAACATAGAGGCTACAATGGAGGAGAGCATCATTACCTTGGGTGCAAGTGACATGGCATCATTGCCACTCACCTGCTGCAGAAATTATTGCTGCTGAGGGATTTTCAGCAATGCCCCAAAGTCACTGGAGCCAGAAAACAGAAATAATTCACCCTCAGTGTTCCCAGGCCGATCCTGCTGCTGCTACTCACCTCAAAGGTTAATTCATAAAAATATTTAAGTGGATTACTGGGGTAACACGAGCTGCAGCACCACACCCTGGCATGGATTTCCTCAAGAAGAGGCTTGGTTTATCTGTTATTAAAGATATCAGCTGCAGGGGAGCACCAGCCCTACCTCACTGGAGTGTTTCTTTCCTGAGCTGTCACTTGGCACCTTTGAACTAAAACATTTTCTCTCTTTTCTTAGAAACCAGAAGACGAAGATGCAGGTGTAAGAGGTGAGTGACAGGCACTGGCATTTTCCTCTTCAACTTGGCAACATCTCACCCTCGAGAGATAAAGGAGGCAGGTGCCAAAAAGCAACCTAAAAATTCTTTATTTGATAGAAGATGGTTGGGAGGAGCCTGAGCAATGACTTAAGGGCAAAAACGGAACAGAAGGTTCTCCCGTTCTCTATTTTTGGTTTTGTTTGGGGTTTTTTTTATCTATTTGGGCTTTTTCTTTGGTTTTACAACTATTAAGTCATTCAAATCATTGAGCTCTGACCCAGCAGCAGATACAAAACAGAAGGACAGGAGGTGTTTGTGGCAGCCCAAAAGCTTTGTGCATCTCCCAGTGCTCATAACCAACCACATTTCTGTGCTTCCAATGCACCATTCCCACCTCGAGCTCGGGGTGACCGTATTCCATCCCTTCCCCTCCCCAAACCATCACTGCCTATCCAGATGTGCCCATGGGTCACATGTAAGTTCCTGCACCCCAGATCCCCCTCTGCACCATGCTGGACCAGCAGCACCAGGGTTCCTGCCTCTGTGTCCCCCCAGGCACTGAGGAGCAGCAGCAGAGGGGCTGCTGCAGCCTCACAGGACTCTCCTGAGAAACACCAGTGCAGACAGGGATGGATTGAGGGATAACCCAGTTCCTAGGGCACACAGGAACCTTTTCTTTATGCTTTCCCTCCTGCCTCCTCAGCTCAGCCTGGGTGACCAGGAAATCACAATCAGAATGAGAACTGCAGTGTCCTGGGGTTTGGGAGAGGAAATGCTTTTTCCCCACACACATTTTGCTTCTGCAAATCGACCTCCCTGCATCTGGTTTGTCACTCCTCCTGCTCTGAATGAAAGCACTTCTGCAGGCTTTGTGCACCCTGGGGCTTGTGGCAAGAGAGACACCAAGAAATCCCCACTACTGCCCAAAGGCAAGCAGGGCTGGGCTAGTGCTTGGAACAGCTGGGATGCCAAGAAACTTTGGAACAGCATTTTCCCACCTCTGGAGCCTCATTCTTTGCCAATCAAAGCATCTTTTAAACCAGATAAATTCCTGTTCCTTGTTATACATCCATAGGTTTTTTAGTACAAGAGGTAATTGCCATTTAGTTCTCCAAATTAAAATACAGTCCCACCCCAACATTAGTAGGTAATGGATCCCTACAAATTTATTTTTCTTTCAAAGGCAGGTTGCATTTTTTAGGCTGTCTGTAAAATGAACAGACTGTCACTTTCACAGAGGATATTTATCACACCCAGAGCTTTCCTGATCCTCGTCTGCCTTTCCAGGGGAGAAATGATAAGGAAGAGCTCTTTGTGCAGCCTTGTTTAGGAGAATGTTTGCATTTTTCACTTATCTCAACCCCTGTTGCCAGCTCTGTGCAAGGATGTTCTGTCTCTGTGGGGAGAAAAACACCCTGCAGAGCTCTCCCACTTTGCCCTGATGCAGTGGGGCCTCAGGAAATCATCTCCCCCAGGATGGTTCTCCTTCAGCAGCCCCTCAGCTTGACAGAGCTCTGGTTTTAGCTATTGTACCACATTTCAGGTTTGATTTAGAGAGGAAATTCCTGCTGCTCTGAGCAGCTCCTGCTCAGTGAAAGGAAGCTCTGTGGAAGGTAGCAGTGCAATTCACTCCCTTACAAAGCTCCCCAGGATCTGGCCTGCCATCCTTGCTGCCAGCACAAGGATTCATTTTCCACCACCAATTAATCTTCCCTGAAAAGGGGTGCCAAACCCCCAACTCATTAGATCAGCATAAACCTCTCAGTTGATGGAAAGCTGTCATTTTTTATCATTTTGGATGCACATTGGCTGTCTGGAAAGCCTCCTTTCAAACTTCTCTGCAGGCAACACGTTCCAACAAGAAAAAATCTCTCTGCAATTATAACACCCTGTCTAACTCAAAAAAAACCACAAACCCTTAGCTCTTCCGTCTTCATTCTTTTCTAAATGTAGAGAAAGGCTTAATGAGAGGACAGGAGTGTGCAGAAGTCAAAGGTAAATGTATAAAGCCCACTTTATTTATTAATTAATATAAGAATTGACCATCAGTGTGTCTTGAGAATACCCTCCTGTTATCTGTCACTGCTTGAAATGGAGACAGACCTTTCACTTGCACAAGGAGGATCTAGGAACATTTTGCAGCTTCCTCTTGGAGCTCCCTGACTGCAGCCCAAGGCTAAAGGAGCCTTTAGCCTGAATTGTCTTCTTGCTCCTCTCCCATCTGAGTAAACCAAACCCTCTTCTCTCTCCAGACCTGCAAACGGGAAGCCCCCCACGAAACCCAGGACACCAAAGTAGCACAGATCAGCATCTGCTCCTCCTGGCTGCTGGATCTTCTCCTGGGAGCTGTCAGCACAGAAATCCATCTCCTACCTTATCCACAAGGCCATAGCACCTCAGTCACTCTGCCCTGGCAGGCTTGAGGAGATGACAGGGAGCACAGACACACAGACAAGGAGCAGGAGTTCCTGTGAGCTGCAGGGTGAGCACAGCTCCTTCCAGACCCTGAGCTTCCCTGGGCAATGCCAGGGGTCAAGCACAGCTCCTTCCAAACCCTGAGCTCCTCCAGGCAATGCCAGGGGTCAAGCACAGCTCCTTCCAAACCCTGAGCTCCTCCAGGCAATGCCAGGGGTCACGCACAGCTCCTTCCAAACCCTGAGCTCCTCCAGGCAATGCCAGGGGTCAAGCACAGCTCCTCCCAAACCCTGAGCTCCTCCAGGCAATGCCAGGGGTCAAGCACAGCTCCTTCCAAACCCTGAGCTTCCCTGGGCAATGCCAGGGGTCAAGCACAGCTCCTCCCAAACCCTGAGCTCCTCCAGGCAATGCCAGGGGTCAAGCACAGCTCCTCCCAAACCCTGAGCTCCTCCAGGCAATGCCAGGGGTCAAGCACAGCTCCTTCCAGACCCTGAGCTCCTCCAGGCAATGCCAGGGGCCAAAAGCCACCTCTGCTCCCAAGGGCAGGGCTCAGGCACTAGAGCCAGGCCAATCCTGGTGCTGACACACCTCAGTGAGAAGCTGGTGAGAAATAAGGGCATGAGCTGGACCTTTGCTCAAGGCTCTGTGTGATTTCCTCCCAAAATGCAGCCAGAGGTGGCATTTGCTACACAAAGCCTTAGAAATAATTATCCTCACTCAACACATCTTCTGGTTGTGGTGCCTCTCTCCTAGGGCTTTTGTTGTTTCAGGTAATGGGACACAAGACTGCTTTGAGAAGCTAAATATGGATTCATTGCCTTACTTTTGAGGTTTTTACAGTCCTGGGGGCTAAGGTTCACTGCTCCCCTCACACTTGTTCTGCTGCTACCCCTGATTCTCCTATTTCTGCAGGAGTTTGGCCTAAGTAAGGAAAGTGGGATTTGCTTTCTTTCTGAGGGAAATGCCTGAGTGATTAAAAAAAATTGTTTTGGTTAAGCAGGATGTTTAACATGTTGATATTTTGGGGACATGTTATGGACTACTGTAAGTTCTGTTTTTTCAGATCTGTATTTCATGTAAATATTTCCTTAGTATGCTTGCAATTTAAGAACTGACACATAAAATAAAATTATTCTAGTCATATTCATGACCATTATTTCTTTCTTTCTTCGATTCCTAGTCTCAGAATAGCTAAAATCCTTCAGGAAGATAATAAACAAGGGGTTGAAAAAGTCTTGGCTAAGGGAAAAGCCAGTGATTAATACACCATCCTGAGCATTAGGGTGCAGACTTCAGCTTCCAGCTTACCACAGCCCAAAATCATCTAAAGGTGTCTTCCCAGGGATTTGCTGATGGGCCCAGTAACACTCCCACATCCCAGGAAAATGCCAAGAAGGTGTCTGAGATAAAGAGTCTGCGGGTACTCTGGAATTCTTGTCACGGGGCTGATAAAAACCTGGACAAAAAAGGAGTGGAAGAAACCCTTTGATAGTCTCCTCCTCTGTAAACAAGATGGGAAAGAGAGAATATCAAAGAAAAACAAAATTCTTCCAAACTTACTTGTTTGTAAGAATTAAAAAAAAAGAAAAAAATCAGGATTAGATAAGTGTATCTAAACAATAGCAAGCAAATACTGAATGGCAATTCCACAGAACTACACACACTATGAAAATAAAAATAAAGGAAAAGCCCCAACATTGAGGCTATGAGATCAATTTAATTATTGGGTGGTTTCTTATTGAATTAGTGTGAGCTAAAAAATTTCTCTTAAAAAGTTATAACTCCAAGTGTTTCTGCCAAAAAGCTATAGGTCTTTCCTCATGTTCTCTTTTCCACTTTTTCACATTACACATTCCTGCAGCCCAGGCAGAAGGGCAGTGAGCTCCTGCTGTGCTACTGACTCCCACATCCAAATCCTCTTCCAATTGATGAAGGAATAGAAGCAGGATCTGTTTGCTCTGGGAATTGTTATTTGATTCAGAGAGGTTGTTTGATCACCTTCAAGCCCAGTGCCAAACTCAGGAGGCTCTGGGATGGCTCAGCACGTCTGCACGCTGATCCTCCAACCCACACTCTGCAGGGCACAGCTCACACAGCCCCAGTGACCCTCACACATCCCAGCAGCAGCTTTCTCCATTCATTAACACACTTTGATGCCCAGTGACATAACCACAGCTCCCAAACCATTTTCCATAACTCAGCTGTCGGTAGCAGCACAAAGAGCGGCGTCTGTTTTCTGACAGAGCCAGGAATCAAGAGGCTTCTTGGCAAAGGGTTGGCAAAAAAAAAAAAAGAAATTAAACAAAAAACCTTACACAGAAAGATAATCAACAGGAAAGCCTGTGTGTGCAAAGCTCCAGGAAATGTCAGCCATTGCCCTGTGCCAGTGGTCACCCAGAGGCAGCAGCAAGGGCCACTGGAGCACACAGCGGGCTTGGGACAGGATGGAAGGAACCCGTGGTGAGACAAAGGAACCACAAGCAGACAAAACAAAGAAGAAGCAAATAACAAATTCTGGACTAGAAACTAATTTCTTCAGAAATTCTTTTTTTCCTCAATGTTTTGTCACAGAGGCCAAGCATTGTCACTTTACCCAAGAGGGTCCTGATGACATCACATCCCCCCAAAGAGCAGCACAGCCTCCCAAGCCAAGTGACAAAGTGACAAAGTTCATCTCAGCTGTGCTGCACTGTCCCCAAGGACAGACACTCCAGGAGAAGATGCCTGGGTCATCTCATGCTCTGAGTATCAGCCCCAAGAGCAACTGCATCAAACTCAGCAGCACTTGGCTTCTGACAGATGAGGAAAAACAGAGCTTCTTTGCAAAGGTGTAATAAAAAAACCCTCAAACAGAAAAGCAATTAACAGGAAAGTTCAATCAAACACTAGCCCAGCCCCTTGCACTCTGGTGAAATGATTCTTTCTATGCATGCAAAGGTCCAGGAAGCATCACCCATCCCCATGTGCAAGTGGTCACCTGGAGGCAGCAGCAAGAGCCCTCTCTGGTGAACCATAAAAGGGTTTTTTTGAAGAGCAGAAGACCCTGTGGTTAAAGAAGAGAACCACGAGTTTTAAAAACAAAGACAAAACACTCACTTGTGCAAGGGGCAATCTCAACAGGTTCCAGTTCCAAAACCAACTGCCTTTCATGAAAAGGCTTTTGCTGAGCAACAGCAAAGAACTGAACAAAGAAGTGCAACAAGAACAACAGAGAAGTACCATCAGTGTGCCAGAAACCCGTGCTTGGAGATAAACAATACACATGGATCTACACCAGGAACATCTGAGTGACTGCAGCTCTGCCATGCACACGGGACTCCATGAATGTGCTCAAGAGAAGGAGGCAGAATCCCCACCAAGAAAAGCGTTCTAGGGTCTGCACCAAAGGATGGGGCAGTTCTGTGTCTTCTGCACAGAAGCTGTGGGGAGGGAAGAGCAGGCTGCAGTGGCTGATCCCACCTCAGCCATGAGCAGCATCACTCTGCATCTCTCTGAAAGTCACACAGAAACAAGCTTGTAAGAAAGGATGAGGTTAAAGGGACCCAGACTCTGGACATGAACTGAATGCATTCTGGTGTTGGAGTCCTGATGACATCACATCCTCCCCAAAGAGTGACACAGCCTCCCAAGCCAAGAGAGAAAAACCATCTCAGCTGCTCTGCACCAGCCCAAGCACAGGCACCACAGGAGATGATGGACACATCTCCTGCCCTGTTCCTGCTGCTCACCCTGGGATTCTGTGAGTAGGGACACGGGACTGTACAGCCCCTTCACTGGGAGGGACAAGGAAAAACTTTCTATTGAATCCAAGACATTGGGGTAAATAATTAAGGGGAAGGAAAAAAACAAACCAAAACTGCTGACCTTGAGGTGTGCTCAGTAGTTGTGGGGGGAGAGGCAGAATCACCTCAGCCAGCAAAGGGCAGCCAGAGGGGCGGCTGCAGCACCACCTGCACGGGGAAGGGAGATTGATCCAATGAGTGCTTCCAGAGGGGAGGGAGAAGTTTAAAAGTTAGTGTTCACAGGGAGCTTAAACAGCTTATCACTTCAGAGAAGCTGGGAAGGTGTAATGTCCCTGAGAAGACACTGGAAGGGCAGCACCCATCTCTCAAGCCCGGCTGGCTGATTGCTGAGCGCCCTCCATGCACCATCCCAGCAAGGACTCCAAGAAAACCTTCACATCCTCCAGACAATGAGGGCTTCCCTTTCCATTTCTACTCCCACCCCATGGACAGGGAGGGAGGGGTGGTTTCCTCAGAGAAGCCTTTGACTCTTCCCAAGTGGTTCCAGCAAGGATTTCTCTCCTGCAGGCTGCCCTGGGATCTATGGCCAGTCACTTCAGATCAAGCTCAGGTCTCCCAAGGACATCAGCCAGCTCCGGGTGGGACAGAAGCTGGAGCTGGAGTGTCACACTGACAGGAACCATGGGGCATCCTGGATCCGCCAGGACAGCAGTGGGAGCCTTCACTTCATTGTCTTCATCAGCTCCGTGTCTCGGGCCACGTTTCAAGGGGGTCAGAGAACATCCACTCGCTTTGAGGCGAGCAAAGACAGCTCGATCCATCGGCTGGCAGTGAAATCTTTCACACCACAGGACCAGGGGAGCTATTTCTGCGTGATGAATCTCAACCAAATGCTGCACTTCAGCCCTGGCCAGCGTGCCTTCCTCCCAGGTCAGCAACACCTTCCCCCAGCCTCACCCAGCCCTGCCAAAATGCCCAGCACCTCCTGCCCGTGCCCTTTGGAACCAGCCATCCCTCCCCAGACCCCATGTCCCTGCTGGCTTGCCCAGGCCATCCTGTGAGCAACCCACTGCTCCTCCTGCCAGAGCCTCCCTGCTTCCCACCTCTCCTCCTGGCACAGCTCCTGCCCAAAAGCAAACATGATTGGGCAGACCCAACATCATCTCCCCATCCCCACTTCCCCACCCCACCCACGGCTCTGAAGGGAGAGCATTAAAGCCAAGTCCAGCACCACCTCCTCCTTCCTCAGCACACACACAGCTCCCAAAAGTACCACCAGGCTCAGGGGGCTCAGGCTTTGTGGGGATGGTGTCAGAAAGTGAGAAACAAGCAGGCTGCAGCCCTCTCTTGGCTCTTGGGAGACCCTCCTTAGGGAGACCCTATCCACACTTGGCTCTACAAAGATCCCCCAGAGCTGAGGGCTTCACTGTGCACAGGAACAGCCCTGCCCAGGCTGGAGAGCAGAAAGGCAGGAGAGATCTGTTTTATTGTATTTCCCTACATGCTGAGTTCATCCATTTCACTTACAGTCACCACTGCAGTGGCACCCAGCACACCCGGACCCACTACCCAGAGGGGCATCACTGAAGGGGACTCCTGCCTGAGGACACCAGATCCAAGTAGCCTGAATGCAGGGAGGGAGAGGGGAAGAGCTGGACCCTTGTCCACTGATACCAAGAGGAATCCTGCAGATATTTTGGGATGAGGGAAGAGTGAAAATCCATAAAGCTTTAGCAGAGCTGGAAGGATTAAATTCCTTCATTTCACCCCCCATACGAAAGGCTAAGGATGATGGAAAAAGCATGAGCATCTCCCCTGCCTGGGACACCAGGAACAGGGGGAGGGAAGGTAGAGCCTCAGTGCCCAGGTCTGCTTTTAGCCTCATCAAAGGACACAGGAAAACTTTTGGCCACATTTTCCCCCTCCAGTTGCCAGGAAATTGCTGACAGCAGCAGACCATCACTGCAGGCCCAGGGGCAGCTCTGTGCCTCAGGCACACCAGGCAGGGCCCTGGGCAGCTCCCTTGGCTCCACCAGAGCTGGCTGTAACCTTCCCTCTTCTCTATCCCTGCAGACAGCAGAATGCAGGAAGACCTGGATTCCTCCTGTCTCACCTTCCTCTGTGTCACCTTGGCAGGCCTTTGTCTCCTGCTCCTGGCCACCACCATCGTGCTGTATCAACTTAAGGTCGCACCTATGCCCTCTAGGTGCACCTGAGGCCTGAAACCACAGCCCTGTCCCTGAGAATGTGCTGGCTGCTTTGGGAAGTGTGGGATAACAGGACTCAGTGCAGGAGAAGGATCCCTGTTATAGTCACTGCCTGGACATCTTCCAACAAATCATCTTGACACTTCCTGAGTGCCCTTCCCCTCCCAGTCCAGCTCTTTCCCATGATTTTGTAGGAAGGAGGTGCAGTGATCTGACTGCAGCATCAGGGCTTCTTTCCCAACAAAAGGCCATGAGTTTTGCATGGGAAGCATTGCCCTGAAAATGTATTTTCTCTGTTCGATGTTGCTGAATGTGACATGTGGCACACAACAAAATTAAATGTATGAACATTGAACAAAAACTGTTCAGAAAACTGAGCAAAAGCATTCTTCTGTATTGCAATCTCTGTAAACTTTGTTATTCTTCCAAATTAAATTACTACATCCTGACCCAGAGATTAATTATTTATTGCCTGTTGTACTGCTTGGGAGCGTACAGCGGACAATCCTGTGGGGAGAAACAGGACATGGGTATTTAAATTCAAAAAAGCATTTCAATAAGATGAACACATGTAGAACAAAGTCCTTGCTACTGCATGGAATGCTAACACAGGATAAACAGAGAAAAATAAAACCCCAAGCAATAAAAAATATATTTAATATATTAATATTAAATATTAATACCTGACATTACTAATAGTAATGCTCCACTGTGCAGTGCTGCACTAAGACCCCAGTCCTGAAGCAATATTGATCCAGGCAAGACTGATGCAGTGAAGAACTGGGAGTAGGGAATCTTTGGGTTTGGGTTTTTTTGTCATTTTGTCAGGTTTGCTGGTTGGTGCCTTTTCTGCAGTCTTTCATTTGCACAGGAAATCAACCTCTAAAAAAGAATTACAATGCTGACAGTGGTAATTACACCCCTGAACACAGCTCCAAACCCACTGCACAGTGAAAACTTCCCATTTTTAACCTCTAGTAGCACTGCAACAGATATCATGAGTTAGCATAAGCCTGTGAGGGAAGGGAGTTTAAAAGCAAATCCAGCTCTCCACCTGTGGATTTTCAGTGAGATCCTGCATGTTTGTGGACTGCTGTCCATCCCAAGATACTCAGGGGGTAACACTTGTCCTTCTGTCTCTTCTGACACAAGGCTTTATCACTGAGCCCCTTAAATTTTAGTATGTTTTACAAATACACCCAATGCACTGCACTGAACTGCTCTGATTCCACCTTGACTGCAAAAGCAGCACAATCCCCTCTGCAGCAGTTAAGAAGGCTGAGAGGAGCAGAACAGCTTGGGGTGAGCACCAAAACAAAGCCTTTGGTAGCTACTGCCCCAGTTTCTCACTGAATACCCCAAAAATGACCAACTTCACCACAGAAGACTCCAGCAGAAGCAGTGACCCAGCACAGCTCTCCCAAGCAACACTGACTTTCCTTTGCCAGCTCTTCCTTCCACACAGTCCCTTGATCAGCTTGTCACAGCCCCCTTCCAGCTCAGCTGCACCCAGCACTGCACCTTGCATTTAAAAGAGCCTGGAAAGTTTTCCATCAACAGCTAGACCTGAGGAACAATATTCTCTATAATCCACTTACAACCTGGATTTTCTGTAGAAGACTTTGCACCCCTACTAATAAGGTAATAATAGAAGGCAAAACCAAAATATATTTTGCAGTAAAATGTTAAGAAGCAATTGCAAATATGAGTGCAGCAGTGAGAAGGGAAAATGCTAAGAGCATCTCCAGCCCTGCATGCACACACCTCTAACAAATCATGCAAGTTCAGGGCAAACTGGCTGGGTTTGTGGTTGGGTGGCAATGTCTGGGCAAGGAGCCTGGACTGCTGCTTGCACTAATAACAAGGGAACTGGCTGAGCTGGAGTGCAGAGAAGCAGCTCAAAGGTGCTTGTTAGTGCATGCAGGAAGCTGCTGTGGGACAGGCCCTACAGATCTGACAGCTTCTGGTTACAGCACATGGAAGAGGTTCCAGTTCCAGTGAGCTGACAGAGCAAGGTGCAGGCTGGAAGCTGTCACAGGGCAAACTGGAGTCTGGCATGGAGAATGACATTCAAAGAGGAGCAGAAGGAATGCATTTGTTCAGAGGTCAAGGTTACCCAACTGCACATTTGCTCCAAACTAATAATGGAGTAACTCATAACTCAGGATCTGATGGGCTCAAGACAAACAAGCCAGGAGTTAACACTTCATGGTGGGGAGAGCAAGAGCTGGTGCACAATTTAAGCATAACCTCAACTAATAAAGGAAAAAAAAGAGTACAAAATGGTTGCTGAAAAAGCCTATGAAGATGAGGATGACATCAGATGCCTCCAAAACACAGAGCATCCAGAATTTGTTGACAGACCCCTGCTTTTACACCATACAGAGCTTCACTTATTCAGTGAACTTTTCTGAGAGAGAAAGGATTTTGATAAATAAACTCCAGATACATAATACAGCCAAGATTACCCCACAGAGCCAGTAACTGGACTGGTCAGTTGAAGTCAAAAAGCTTTGTCTGTCCAAGAATTTGACAGATGACCTGTCACAGGGAAGTAACCTAAGCTCCTCCCAGGCTGCTCAGACTAATTCTGTGGTGCATTTTGTGCAAGTGCTTGGAATCCACCCCCAAAACCATGCCCTTGCTGCTGCTTCTGCAGCATTCAACATAGAAAAGCAAAATTAGGCAGGGAAAAAAAGTACAGAAACCTCTGGAAGAACAGTAAATAGGCAGTGAAACACAACCTTCCTGTACGTAGGTTTCTTCCTTCTGATTCATCTGACATCAAAATGTGCAGGGTCAGCACTACCTATCCATCACCAGATCCCCATCCTGAGCTGTGCTGAATAAATTGAATACATGTAAATTTTTGTCATGGGAGATCAACCACATCTGTTTGTCTTTCACATTCCTGGAAATCTCCCACATAACTCAGAAACCTTGGAAAATAGTGGATTTGCTCTCAGTTCTGAGGGGAAAGAATTGTCAGTGAAAATAGCTACATTCATATATTTATTTCCTCTCCCCACAGGCAAATGTCTCATGGATGATGCTCAAGACTTGAACTGAAACATTATTTACACCTTCCCCATCCCTTTTCTCTAGCCAAAGGAAAAGTCCTAGCCATGATCTGACATTTAGTAAGAAGAAAGAAACCAACAGGAGTGCCACCAGGTCTGAAAATAAACACCAGGCAGAGGAAATGCAGGAGAAAAGGGCATCTCCTTTTAAAAGCCAAATCAGGGAAGCTTTGCTCACTGCAGCCCAGGTCACAGCACCCACCAGTCTTTGTTCCACTCTACACTGCTCCTTTCAAAAAATGAAAAGTTTTCTCTAGAAAGTGAAAAGTTCTGAGGTGGAATAGGAAGTGGACAACACTTCAGGGCTTTTGCATTTGAAAACCCAGATACAGCTGCCCTGTAAAAATAAGTACAAGTCAGGGTGATCTGAAACCCCAGTTCCTACAAACAGACCCAGCAGGATTCAGTAAGAGCTCACAGGAGGCTGTGAACAGCTCCAGTTCCTGTATTTCTCCACAGGACTGCTAACAATGCAAACTTGAAGTCATGGAGAGAAATAAAGTCACTCTCATTTCACATATGTACATTTTTGTAAACTCAGAGTAGTGATGTAACACCACGTTACAGCTTTACTCACTACAAATCATTGCTGCCAGACTCTTCTTCTTAAAATTTCATTTCAACAGCTTCTTTCCCTACACTTCAGTCTCCTACTCACAAAAGGAAAGGAGCAAGGGTTGGGATGGATTAAGGACCAGGTTATCCCTCCCTGCCCAAGAGACACATCAACCTCTGAAGTGATAAGCACAGAAGGAAAAACTGTACCTTGCAGTGGGCAAACAAACCTTGCAAGCAAAATCTAACCCAAACTTACTGCCTTTACCTTGGCAAGCTGGCTCTGAGTGATAAGTAACTTCAACCTTGAATTTTAGCAGCAGCCATCCTGTAAAGCATCAAGAAGAAAGATTCAAAGCAACAGGATGGACACAGGTCTAAGCTAACAGAGATCAGAAGCTCTGACTCATTACTGGGAACACACAGCATCCACTTCAGCTTCCCCACAGGAGGAGACTGAAATCAATGTTTCCACAGAGGAACACTGCTTTTAGGAGGGAGGATTGTTAGCTCAGCCATACCTAGCTGCAATGTGCAGTGCTGAGGTCACAGCAGGAAAAGACTTAATTAAAAAATACTTCAGAGAGCAGACGAACATCCAGAGTACTAACAGGAGGTGAGGACATGAACTTTGTGTAAATGACAACCAAAAATGTACAATACCTGTGAAGTTTAAAAAGGTTATGTGCTGCTTTCCTTTCCTACTCTTTTGAAGTTTTGATAATGCTTTATAACACAAGTCAGACCTGAAACACCACAAGAACACATTGCAATACATTTCCTATTTAAGGCATTTGCAAAAATTAAAATCCAAGTCTATTAATAGACATTGAACTGACACTACAAACAAGCTGCTGGTATGAAAATCAAGTTATAAACATCCATTACTTTCAAAGGAGCCATAAGTTAAACTTTATATAAGCATGGTCAAAAAATTCTTGACTGGATGCCCATCCACACCACTAACTTGGGTGCACTTGCTCAGAGCTGCTGTTCTGACAGCTTGCAAAGGGGAGGAGCAGCAGCTGCCAGCCCAGCACAGCCCAAGGAGGACAGGCTGATCTGGATACAGACACAAACACACTGAGTGTCTTTGCTCCCATCCTGAAGCACTAAAAGGCACCTGGGACACACAGGGCTACTTCAGGGACTAGCCCAAGGCTTCACAATCTGGTCCAAAAGTGAAATGGAGACACATCACAGGTCCCACTGAAGCTTCAAAATCAAATCCATTTTTTACTGTGGACATTCCCACCCCACTAGGGACAATGCACACATACCAGCTGCCAACTATACTTTAGGTATGGAAACCACAGAGTTTTATTCACTCTTCCCCTGAAAGCCTGCTCTCCAGTTACCAGAAGCACAGCAAGCAGTAGCAGGAGAGAACCCACATCACTATACAGGGCAAACTGGATTATTTGTGCCAACC